AAAGACGCACGCGGGAATACGGGTATTCTCGTATTTGTTGACAGATTCAGCAAAATGGTACACCTTGTTGCTGTACCAGAGACAATCACGGCAAGTGGCTGTGCCTGTGTCTTTATTGACACCATCTTCCGACTTCATGGGTTGCCCCGTGAACTCGTATCAGACAGAGATCCACGATTCACTGCTGATTTCTGGCGTTCCGTGTTCAAATCACTCGGAACGCGCTTATACATGTCGACATCTGATCATCCAGAGTCAGATGGTCAGACGGAACGTGCCAATCGTGTCCTTGAAGAGATACTTCGAGGATACGTACACTCCTTTAAGAGTTGGAGTGAGTTTTGCCAATGGTAGAGTTTGCCATCAACAACTCGGTGCATGCGTCCACGACACCTACACCGTTTTACGTGAATGGCTTGCGCCATCCGCGTGTACCCACCTTACTAGAGTGTAACTCTGGTTTAAGGGGGGGAGGGACTCGCGCGAGCAAAAACCGATTTGGTTCACGCTCATCACGCTCTGACGAAGAGTTCATTGCGTTTGATGCCGATATCGATAACATCGATATCGAAGAAGATGATGCCAGTGAGAGTGCGGAAGCCCTCACTGAAGAAAAGGTTGATGTTGCTGCAGTGTGCTCACAGCGCACTGAAGCTAACGAGTCAGCAGATGATTTTATACTGGCTCGTGAAACGGTAGTCCGTTTTGTGCAAGACTCCATCGCTGAAGCGGTGGATAAGCAAAAGCAAAACGCCGAAAAGAATGGAAGGGCAAACACTCTTTTATTTAACAAAGGTGACTTAGTCCTACTGTCTACGGTTAACCTACCAAAGCATGTAGTGACTAACTTGGGTAGCAGTAAACTACTACCCAAGTACATCGGCCCATTTCGTGTATTGCACCGCCTAGGCAATGCATACACGATCGAGTTGCCACGTAAGATGCGAACGCATCCAACGTTTTACTTTGGTCGGCTTAAGCCGTACCATCCGTACGCTGCTTCTTCCGATGAAGAACGCCCTTGCGCTCAAGCATCTCGCAGAGAGCCTTGTGCTCCCGATGGTGGGCATCGACAAGGGTCTGAAGAGCAGTTATCTCATCCCGAGACCGATCAACAATCCCACGAGCTACCCTTAGCTCGTCATGAAGAGATGTCAGAGATCTCTCGTTCTCAAGCTGAGCAAAGGCAAACTCAGCTCGATGCTTCGAGGCAGTGTCCACCATTTGGAGACGCCTATTCCGCTCATGTTCGAGATCGTCGCGTAACCCTTGCGTTACGCGATCAAAGAAGCTCTCGGGAACACACCGATCCACATGATCGTGTGGAGAGCGTCTTTCCTCCCTCCTCCACCTACATTAGAGGACTCTTGCGGTGGCCAGCGCTATCTAGTTGAGCAGCTGTTGAACCACCGCGACGTGAACGGACGTCGGACGAGTTATCTCGTCCGGTGGCGAGGCTATCCCCCGTCCTGGGATACTTGGGCACCACGCCTCCAACTGATGGTTGACGTACTGGGTCTGGATGAGCAGTACGACGCTGCACATCCTGTGCCGCAGAAGGACCGCCGGAGAACTTCTTCCCGGCACGGTCATAAAGGGATTTCAGGTTGCCAATCCCTTCGTGCATCTCACTAGAGATACGTACGCGCCACCACGGGCTGGTAAGGAGGTAAGCCTCCTTAGGTGCTCGTGCAGAGTTGTTCACACAACACGGGCACCAGTCTCCCCAAGAGAGGCAGGGTAATCCCTTCTTCCTTGACAGACGATGCAGCTTATTGCGTGCACCTTTCGGGGTTCGCTTTTCAAACTCATCACGAGCTTTGATAAGTTTTTCGTTCCAAGCGTCACGACCTACATCCTCAAGGTTATGGATGTAGGCGTTCCACGCTTGAAGTAGTGAGGGACCATCACGCTTGTGGTTCCCACTGTACCATCGATGTCTGCATCACCAAGTGACACAGGCTGGGTCGCTTTAGCAACCGATGAGACATCAGTTGCTGTTGTTTCTGCTTCGGCGTCCGCACAGAGACGTGCAGACGCGCTCTCGGCGGCCTTGCTCGCGCATCGCATGGGCTTGTTCACCATGCGATGAAATGTTGGAAAGTGGACGCGGACTAACAAGTGCAAACCCTGTCCCAAATGATTTGGGACGAGTATCCATTTAGTCAATCAGTCACTAAGGTGACTGATGGTTAAGGGGGGGGTGATGTAACGGGGTGAATCGTTACATAACAATTTATAAGAAATTGTTAATAGAATATAACTATAAGAGTTATATTCTGTAGCACTTACAAGTAGTTCCTAATTGGTTGATATAGGCCATTATATCAACCAACGAAGACGCGCCACGACAGACGCACGCAATGAGTGGTGAGCAGATAACTGATTTACACATTTGTATTTAGACATAGTTAGATGAAGATAAATAGGGATTTATTGCAGACATTAACTATTATAAATACGGTTCTACTTTTTACTTTAACCAAGTACTCGCTTCTTCTTACCGTCTTCCTCTGCACGTACCAGTGTACGTGAAGCTACGAGGCACCGCCTTATTCTGTCATCAGAATAAGTAGCTTGTACTGTCACCAGTACAAGCTTCAGGGTGCCCCGTTACATTTGTCACATGTCGTCGCGCTACTGGAATTGATGTGAGAAGCAGTTTGTTTGCACTGCATGAAGCTGGATATGTCATGCAATGAAGTCGACGAACACAAATACAGACGTAAGGTATCATCGCAGAAATTGGATGTGTCTTCGCGGCACACACGAAATCTAGAAAAAAAGAACGAACGATCAATTAGATGAAATCATGTAAAAGCCAAATGTCGTCGCAGACATGTCTGTTTGGGGTTGCGGCCGAGTAAATGACCGAGTAAATTCCTTGTTGGTCTAGTTATTAGATAGGAGAGCAAGCTCTGGAGCTCGCCCCTTGATATAAGTAATTCAGTTCGGAGAACTGAAACATGTTGCAAAAATCTATACAGCAGCAGACACTGAAGAAGGAGTGTGATGCTGTTATTTATGAATCAACACTGTACAGGAGATCAGAACCAAGCGATAGACCTGTGCTTACGAGCGTTTAGCATTTGCTTTCAGCATGGGATCATATTCATCTTTGATCGTTTTTAAGCCAATCAGGTGCGTGCATGTGATCCTGCAAATGATCATTTTCATCTTCAACTGATCTTTAGCCAATCAAGTGCATGCTTCACAATATTGATCAAGCCATAGTGACACCTATCATGCTAAACGACCTATGAGGGGGACAAACTAGATCGTATTTAGTAAGAATAAGGTACACCTAAACGCGTTATTTACGGACAGACACGCACACGGACAGACAGGCAGATAAACACGATTTAAAAGCTCGGCATTCAACCTTGTGCACACTCACTCATAGCTTCATCCTTCAGGCTCGCAATAATCTAGAGCTCGAGTTTTGGCCGATAAAAGTGTCGCAACTGCGCTCGTCTCTATTGAACATCGTGATATGTGCGGCAGCAGGGATCATGTGTGCAGTATTTATTTGCATCGGTTCAATGTACTGGATCGCTTTGTGACGCTAAGCGCTCGTAGATACCTCTTCGAAAATGTATGCTTGCATACAAGTCACTATCACTAACTTTATGTGAGTAAGACGAGTTTTGACTTGTGCTTCCACGGTACGCCTTCATTGTCTTAGGGATGTTTCCTGCTGTTATTAGCAAAGCGTGATGGTAACGATTTGATTCAAATTTAATCTACAGCTTAAAGAGGTGGTAATTCCTCATACCTACGATGGTTTCCTGTGTTTGGATTAGAGCATAACAGGACGACCTTAGGTAATTAAAAGGCGCTTGGATGGAGATTGCATATCTTTGCTGCCATGTCACGCAAAAACTCCCGACAACCATTTGAAATGTATCAAGGAGTTGCTAACAATTACGGATTCAGGTAATAGTCTACATTGCCATGGGAGGTAACTGGACTGCATTGCGGAAGAGTGTGCGCCTAGTAAAGTAGAGACTTTGTTGGAGTGGGGTGTATGTCCAACAAGGGGAGGTGGGGTACGTAGATCATTTCCAAAAGAAATGACAATGTGGTTGCAGAGCCTTTGCTTGGTGCACACGCACTCAACATGTTGTTATCAGCATGCACTTATACCAGCGAAGCACCGCCATCTGAAGAAACACGCTGTGTTGAACACGAGACGTTTGTCGAAGTTGTGAAGAAGAATACAGCGCTTTACACCTAGGGTAGCGACTTCAAAACAAAGTTGCGATACCCGTTTGCGCAATTATTGACGTGTAAATACAACCGGCCTATAGTCTCCACTTGCTTTTTAATCTGATCATGTCTTTATTGGCGGTGATGGGCATCCTGCCTCCTGACGACAATTGTCATTATCTCTATCTATGAGGTCGAACACCGAAGAGTCCCATGCATCGTACTCGGTAACGCCCCGTTCATTAACATCGTAAGCGATTTCTTCCGTAAACATTGTTTGATGCCACTCGGCATACAACACATCTGTCTATAGATGATTTACATCTAACGCCGTTCGCTCACCACGTCCGTCCTAGCAATGTAGAGCAAGAGCTGACACGAACTAATTACAGCATTAAGTGTCGTTTACAACAAAAGGAATTTATACTCAAAATTCTACAAACTGCTAGGGCTGTAACACCGACTGCTTTAATGCATAACAACAACACTCTTTCGAGTGAACGTTCCTGTCCACGATGATTTTTATTGAACATCACATTAATTTAACAATGTCAACTTTTGCTTGTCACCACGTCGCACCCTATTCGACGTTGTAAATAAGCGATGCGACGTCAAGGATAAAATCAAAAAAAGACTCGAGATAAAATCCATCATCGATAATATCCACTTCAAGTGTGTGCCAACCAATGCTGCTACGACGACTGTGCCGCGGTCAAAGACTTCATCCGCGTGCTTGTTTATCCGTTTCAACGGATAAATTCTTATACCGCCGCTGCCAGTACCGTAACAGTATGCAGTATCTATCATCCGCTGCAAAGGGTGACGGTGAAAACTCCACCGATCATGAGGCGACGAAAACGACTCCAATGGTCGCGCAATATCTCGCTCGCAAGAAGGAGTATCCAGGTCTAGTATCAAGCTTCTGCTCAAATGTTGTGGGTTTTATCCAGTATGAAATATCTCGATCTTTTGTAACCTGTATTTTGTTGATGCCGTAATAACAGACTGTATGCTGCTGTTTCAAGTGGGGGATTTTTACGAGTTCTTCGGGGAGGACGCTCGACGAGCAGCTCATGTAAAAAGCTCTGAATTAAAAAAGCGAAAAAGAAGGAGGATGCTTTTTTTGACGAGAGGACTAAATGTTGGTGTTTAATTTTTGGAAACAGCTGCTGAACTTAGCACTGACAAGGAAGACCAAAAAGACGCAACACGCGCTAAGTGCAATGTGCGGCTTCCCTATTGGATCGGTAGACTCGTTCGTAGAGAAGTTGGTACGTGAGGCAATTCTTTTTTGGAAAAGTTGGGTTCTAACGATGGATTCATTATCTGAGCTTTTGTATACTGATACTGCGCTGATGTGAACTCAAGTAGGTGATGCATCATGGTGTGAAGGTAGCAATCTGTAATCAAGTTGAGGTAGGGTTAAAGAGGTATGGACTGTTTGCATACTGTAAAAATGCTTGTGGCACTTATCACGTTCGTCTGGTATCGATTTGGTGGCCTTGCAGCCGGCGTCGAGCGCAAAGCGGAGAGGACTGAACTCCCTTGTCGACCGACAGGTTGTGCGAATCGTCACTCCTGGGTCGCTGCTGGAAGATACGATGCTTACACCAAAGGAAAATAATTATTTGGCATCTCTTTATTACAAAGAGGGTACATGGGGACTTGCGTGGGCTGACCTGTCAACGGGCGAATTCGTGTCGACCACTTCGTCAGGTGATAAATTGTCTAGCGCCATCTTGCGGTGCTCGCCAAAAGAAATTCTACTGCCTAGTTTGACGGATGAGACTGAAATTGAGACAATGGGCTTGCAGGCTGCCGACATGCCTCCGAATGCCGTTGAATTACTGGAAGCAGTGCTTCCGGACACGTGCATGAAAACATTTCGGCCTGCTGCGAGTTTTATTCCGCAAACACCAAGTAGCAGGCGTCAAGGTCGTGCCAGTACCATAAATGCACCTGACTCACCAGAGCAAGCAGCTGTATCAGCGATACTGGACTACGTGCGTTTCACTTACCGAGGATCGAGTGCCTTAGTCCGAGAACCACTTCACGTTGAATCTTCTGACCACATGATTATCGACTCGAGCGCGTGGAGAGGACTTGAGCTCACAAAGTCGCTTAGTGGCTCAAAAGCATCGAGTCTACTCCACACTATTGATCAAACGACAACGCCTGGTGGCTCACGGCTTCTTGCGGTAGGTGCCAATGCTTGCTATTGTACCGTTCTGTAGAGTACAAGGACTGATGATTTGGACAATCCCTAGGCTCATTTATCCTCTCCACTGATGAACCTCACACTTCTCGATCGTCGACTGAATGCTGTTTCGTATTTCTACGAGCAAGAGCATCTGCTTCAACGCACGCGGAAACAACTAGCAGAAGTCTTTGACATGGAACGAAACCTACAAAGGCTTTCGATTGGTATTGGCACCCCAAAAGATCTGAAAAACGTTGCCTCGACTATTGTTGAAGCCGAAAACTTAGTTGATCTTGTACGGACTAATGAGCTTCGTAGACGCAGTCGTCTCCCGGACCTACCTGGAAACAGCGCCTTCAGTTTTCCCACACTACTGGATGACTGCTGTCATGGGCTTGTTGCCAATGAGCAGCAACGCGAGAGAATTAGAAAGGCTGCTGACGAAATTCATGCAGCACTCAAAGATGATTACGCATCGCTCAACTCCAAGAGCGGATTCGTTCGTGCTGGGTATTCCCTAGAACTGGACAAATGGCGAGCTATTCTGCGGCATGACCCAAAATCTCCAGAAAAGCAGGAGTTGCAGGCCAAGTATCGCGAACTAGTAGGATCTACGCGGCTACGTGTTGTTTTCCAGGTGGAAAAGGGATACTTTTTGGATGTCCCGCACGATGAAAACACAAAACTGCTGAAGACCGACCGTGGACGTCGCGAACTAGAGAAGCTGACGTTATTCCAGTCACTAAAAAACTCGGTACGATACCGCAGCGAGGAGTTGCGACAGCTGAATCGTGAGCTCACGGAAGCCGCAGTGGAGGTAGAGCGCGTAGAAAACGGTGTTTTCACGGCACTACGTGATCAAGTATTGGCTGTGCGTACCGAGTTGCAAACTATGGCCCACGCAATCTCTCAGATAGACGTCGTCTGTTCTCACGCTCAAATGGCTCTCGACCACAACTTTACCCGACCGTTGCTTGATGGCAGTTGCGAGCTGCACGTTGAAGACGGACGACATGCAGTCGTGGAAGCTGCACACCTTCGAGGCAAAAATGCTCGAAGCATGCGCACTTTTGTGCCCAATAGTCTGCACCTTGCCGCAGCTCCGATGGGTTCTTGCTGGTTACTCACGGGTCCTAATATGGGTGGAAAGAGCACGTTTCTACGGCAAAGTGCGCATCTCGTGATTCTAGCGCAAATGGGTAGCTTTGTACCAGCAAAGTTTGCTCGAGTTGGCCTTGTTGACAAGCTGTTTTGTCGCGTTGGATCGGCAGATGATCTGGCAGCTGACAAAAGTACGTTCATGGTGGAAATGCAAGAGACCTCGACAATCTTGACGCAGGCAACAAGTCGCTCACTGGTTTTAATGGATGAAGTGGGCCGCGGCACTGCTGTAAATGATGGTATTGCAATAGCTGGAGCTGTTCTCGAGACATTATGTGCAAGACAGACTCGGACATTATTTGCCACGCATTTCACTGCGTTGAGCAGCTTGGTTGGCGGTACGTGTTCAGGAAATCTCCGGCCGTATCGAATGGAAGTTATCGAGCACCACGTTGAAGGCCAAACGACACAACTTGTGTTTTCGCACCGCGTAGTTGAAGGCCTAGCGTCTCAGTCGTACGGTATCAACACTGCGGCACTTGCTGGATGTCCACCAAACGTGGTCGCACGTGCAACGGAGCTACTGAGTGAACTCACTCAAGATCAAGACAAAAGTGCGTGTCACGACTGATGTTGATCGTGATCAACTACAGCTTTGTCGGGCAGAGCTAAAATGGCTGAACGGTGGCGATAAGGCTATCCGTAACCTAGATACCTACAAGATTTTGCAGCAACTGCGGCAGTAATTTATGAGACGATAGACGCTGAAGACAAAACGAGGTGAAAGAGTGGAACTTGGTGCTGTGGTTTTCACCTGCAATCATCTGCAAGTGGCGAGTACCGTGATCAAGGAACTCTCTTGCTGAATGACTTTCCCTGACTTCAAGATATCTCATTCTCTCATATTTTAGGGGCTTTCCAGCTCGTGCGAATAATAGAAAGTGGTACGTCTCTGCGTACACACCACACTCCTAATTTTGGCGCTGATACCTCTGCAAGCATAAAAGACGCCGCGGAGCAAGTGTAGCCGCATTTTATACAAGCGTGAACAAGGGAAAATTCGTGATGTCTTTGACGTATCGACGTCGCTCAAGCTGAATACAATATCGTTTCGGCCTGTCGAAGGGGGCTTAGCACGATGTACACTATATCTCGCTCTAGCTTACAGCACCTCACGACGTGATTATTGAAATAGTATCGATCTCTCACGAAGCGCCCCGGGTCGGATATTCAGGTAATTGTTGCTACAACACTCGTGTGGTCGGACAACCTACAGCAGTATAGAAATTTGTGTAGTATTTCTATAGAATTCAGCAGAGATGTATGCATTGTATTGAGCACTACGATACTCTTACAGTTGTGATTTCGGTTCTGACGCTGTAGCAATGCTTTTGTTTTGCTTGTATCGGTAGCAATTATAAATCTCGCTTTTTACCTGTTGTAATGGCGTCGGATTACGTACACGACGGTCGTTGAAGATGACTCGCACTATACTCATATTGTGTACAACGATGATGCATTCTAGCAAGTGAAGATATACAAGGTACCAGAGTCGCAGGAATTTGTAAAATATCTGCCAGCCTCTCACAAATTCAAGAAATCGAGACGCGTCTGCGATTTCCAACGTCTAATCTCATTAAACGTACACATGAACCGTTTCACGAGAGCAGTGTCGTGTCTTGCAATCGGTGCAATCGTCAAAAGACGGTAGACGCTGAGATTCGTGCTAGGAAACTAAAAGTTGCCTGAGATCCGTCAACTAATCATGATAATGTACGCTCTGGGGACAGCTTGGCAAGGTAAAGTGTACGCATCATATACTCCGTGTGTAATGGTATCAGGCAAAGTTTAGGTATGGTGTCAGAGGTGCAAAAGTCATCGGTACACTTTCTGATGATCATGCTATTTGTTCGAATTTTTATAAACACAAACAGGCTTAACTAAACGCACAATGAGTGTAGATGTCTTTGCTTAGCTTCTGTACTCATTGCTAAAACCAGTGAGAGCGAATTACACAGCTATAAACAGTGAATCGGTCATACGTGTCGATGTTATCGTCGTACATGAACCTAAAGCCTTGACACATTGCGATGATGTCAAGTGCTTGCTATTCGCCACTATCACAAGCTTCTACGATATCGGCTGAGATTGACTAGGTGTCGTCAAGTACAAATTCGTCAATGTCCAGAACGGAAGTATGTCCACTGATCATTGTAGACTGGATAAGTTGATCCCGATCGAATCGATTCATTTAAGCTAGAAAGTGTTAGCTGCTGACAATGTCTTTAGCGTCATTTTAGAGTCAACAACGTGCAAGCAATTTGATTGTCATATGTATTCGCTACGTTTCGAGGTGGTGATCCATGGCCCTTCTTCCTTACCTCGCACCGCTTCCACAGCATATTCTCCGCATCCGCAAATGAGCACAAAAGTGACAAATAAATAACGACTATCTCGCCCTTTTGGCAAACAGCACAACAATCGGGCCGATACAATCGAAAAAGTGACCGCAATGCAGGATATGGATATGCGAGGATCGACAAAATACACTACAATTTTACTCGCAGCACGAACTATTTACTAACGGTTTTACACTAAGCCAGGCTTTAGTTGTTCCGCTTTCGTGGTTTAATAGTTCATGCGTCGTCCGTGATAACATTTGGATTGATAATCAAGCACAATCGAAATGTAATATACTAACATTATCAGATCGAAGCAGGTGTTGCCGAGGACTTTAGCAGATGAACAATCAGCAAGTAGCGACTACGCATAGCTTGCTAAGGTATGACAAATTCTTGTGTGCAGCGTTGCAGATGTAGCCAGCCTATGCGTAGAGATTTTTTCTTGGTTGGTCCATCTTTGGAACCAATCGCCGTTTATTAAGAAATCAATTGCGTTTGCAGAATGGGTCTTTCCAGCTACTAGGAGTCGTGACATTAATTCTCTGGTGTCTAGTCGTCACGAAACACAAGATTTCGACAACAGGACAGAGTAACGCTACTGCAAAACGCCTGTGACGTCCCATCAAGTTCAACATCTCTACTTTCCAATCGCAAAGCTGTCCTTGGCAGCACGCACAAACTTCATCACCTTCACAGGATCTTTCTCACCATTCGCAAATTTCTGCACCGTAGCTTCCTCCACTCGCATGAACGGATTCAACGCCAACTGCTCCTTCACTGTCGACGGAACGGTAGGCTCCTTCGCCTCTGTTTTCTCAATAGCCCATGCCAGTTTTCTCTGCACCGCTTCGTTGTCTGGTTCCACGTGCGCAGCATAACGTAGATTGCTTGCCGTGTACTCATGTCCACAGTAGATCTTCGTCTCCTCTGGCAGCTTCGCTACCACCTCATTCAAAGCATAGTGCATCTCCGCTGGAGTTCCACTGAACAACCGTCCACATCCAGCAACAAACAGCGTGTCGCCAGTAAACAGTGCGTCTCGGCAATGGTACAGCACGTGATCACGAGTGTGACACGGAGTATAGTAGACGTTGATATTTAGATCCCCAAGCTGTAACACGTCTCCATCAGTAACGGAGTGAGTCTGGGCTTCCACAGCACTTCCCGGTCCACCAATGACCTGAATTTGACGCTTCTCCTTCTTCTGAATCAGGTTAACAAGGTCTGAATTTCCACCGGCATGGTCCCAGTGTGAATGAGTGGTGAGGATCATGGAAATGTCAACTTGAAGCTCTTTGGCACGAGTATAAACCTTCTGGGCATCCACGGGATCAACTGCCGCTGCCACATCTGTCGACACCAAATACAAGCACTTTATTCGACACAATTAACGATTGGAGATTGATATGGTTAGAGAATAGCGTACGATTGGTAGAGTCAATGAGAAGGTAGGCGTAATTATCGGACAAGACAGGAATTAGCTCGACTTGCAAGACCATCGCTGTTGTTCTTTTATGATGCAAATTGACAAGTGACGCCGTTTCTAATTCTTGCAATATTTTGCGTGAGAAATAACACCCAAAATGGCCGGATGTGTTGATTTTAGCGAATGAAATCGTAGAATGAAGATGGGTACTGCGCTTTCGAACGGGTTCTAAGACTGGCGACATGCATCGCGTTTCTATCGTGAACACAACCGTAATTTATGAAAGCCGTAAAATATGGAAAGTGTATACGGACCCCACCATCCTGCCGTGTCAGGCAGGTTTGAATGCAGCGAGCTAGTATCAAGAGCCAGAGCGATAGTGATGGTCCAAGGGCGAGTCTGACACCTTGCAAAAACTGGAAATTGATAGCTGCTAGATTTGTTGAGAAATGGTCATGAGACTGCCGTATTCATAGCAAAAGGATCGATTGATCGTGATGGTAAACGTAGAGCGAGAGCAATGATGCGAGATGTCTTTGCAGTAGAATACCCTCGCCCATGCTGGTCTCAATAGTGTTGGACCACGATGAAGTGGCGAATACGAAACAGTTTGAATCTCACAACAAGCACGATGTAAATTTATACCGCTTGCAAGGCTTTCTTGGGAGGTGTTGGCAGTGATTGGCAGTGCCAGTTTAAGCCCAACGCATTTTAATAAGAGAGGAACTTTTCCGCCCACACAATTAGCAGAGGTGCCAGGGCATTCTACAGCTGTTTAAAATGTGAGAAGGTGATGGCTACGTTTGTGGGTTAATGCAGTTTCACGCTTATATACAGTACATCGGAACGGACGTGTTGCGTTTTGCCTTGGTGCTCAAGAATACGGTAGGGTTGATCATTGATGCACACGAATCTTGAACATAAAGCAGCTTTATGTTTCAAGGTTCATCAGCGCTTGATGCTAAATGTCGACGACCAAAACATACCACGTTTAGCTAAGTGTAGTTCGCGAAGGAATCACATTTTGATTGATGTCATCTCTAGGCTGCAACAGTCGTCTTGTGAGGTTTCGTAGACCCCAAAGTGGCTTTTCATTCACGACTGGCTGAGTCGTGAAGACCTATCTGAAGCCTACAGTGCAGTCAAGCTGCAGACCGACTTGAAATTAGAGTGTGACAGCCTTACAGCTCGCCAAGTAGAAATCACTGCAGACAAAGTCACGTCAGACGACACCTCACACATCATCAAACTATCAGGAGCCAATCAACCTGCGTAAGCGATTCCTTATTATCCGTGCTTAAAAGCCAGCAAAACCGACTGTCTTAGCAATGAACTGCAGCTTCCGTGCGCCCATTACGATAGAGAGCACTGACAATGTCCAGTAGCACCAAAACACTTCGTTCTAGTGTCCCTGAAGATGGTCCTGTAGCTCCCGCTCGGACAGATCCGTTTCTCCCTGTTTGAGACTCACACCTAAGAGCGCGGCTTCTCCTTCTTCTCCTTGTACAAAGCCAACAAAGACACCCCCGAGACTTTCACGACCTTGAACCGCACACCCGGAATGTCACCCACAGCGTGGCCGCGACGACCGAATCCCGAGATCAGCACCTCGTCGTTTTCGTCCACAAAGTTCAAACAGACATCGCGCGGCACGAAGGCTGCAATTTTCTTCGAGTTCTTGATCAGCTGCACGCGACACGACTTGCGAATAGCAGAGTTGGGCTGCTTCGCTTCAATCCCAATCTTCTCCAGGACAATGCCCTTGGCCATGGACGACCCACCAAGCGGGTTGGCCTTCATCGCCGTCACCGAGTGGCTCTTGTTGTACGACTTTTGCGCCCAGCGCTGCGTACGGCGGTGCACGCGCAGCTTACGCGCACAGCGGATACCAGACGGTTTGTCTGCACGAGTAGAGTGGACACAACGAACTTTGCCATAGAAAAACATCAGTCGACTGCAATAAATCTTTGCATCAGTAGGTTCTAGAGAGTTATGACAGCAGCACACGAAGTTCGTGTGATTACAGCCCTCCTCCTCTATGCACGGCATCCACCATGTTATTTGAGGAGCTCTTCATCTCATAGCTACACTCGGCATCGAGTCAATTGTTTTGCAATGGAGCTACTTGGAGCAGAAGAGAGAGCGAGGAGGAGGTTCAAGACACGAAGGTAAACTGCCCTGCTCTACGAGAAGGACAGCCGCTGTTTGTCGGACAACTTGACGAGATAATCACGTACGTTTGCCCATTTTTCAGTCGGAGAATATCAGGAATCTTCACTGAAGCTGGCGGTGGAACGCCCAAGGTCAAAATGAATGGAGGACGCCGAGGCGGAGGACCGTACACGACGGGACACAATAAAGGTGCTCCACGCAAAAACGACGAGAAGACGCTTGTTCATTGGCCAGAATTACTGCCGTGACAAACGATCCGTCAAGTGATTGGTGGCCGAACGAGGTGGCACACGACTGTATTAATTCTTGCAGGTAGACGTGGTACTAAGTACTCTATGGACTGCTGCACGTGGCGTAAATGGCAGTCAGGTAGCCACTTTGCACCTATCTGAACCCGTCCCTACAGCTCGTCTCATTGCTGCTTTTTCTTCAGCTTCTTCGACTTGTTCTTCTTCGCTTTGCGCTTCTTCACCGCTTCTTCGTCTACTTCAACTCCGACTCTTTCTGCCAGCTCGTCACGCTGCTGCTTTTTCATCAGAAAGGATCTCACTCAGCATGTCGTCAATGTCTCCGTCATCTTCAGTGACATCGCCTGCTCAAGTGCTGCTCCTTGAATCTCGTCAAACAGACACTCGTCACGGCCCAATTCGGGAACGCCTACAAGCCCGGAGCAGTGCTCCTTACCAGACAGCACACTTTTCAGAAACGCCGTCGCACTCAACTCGTCAAAGATGCCCACATTCGTAGCAAAGCGCTGCTTCGAAGGAGAATACACAGCAAGCGTCGGCATCTGGAAAAGGCCGACACGCAAACGCTCCGCAAAAGTCCTTCTGGCACTTCCCGTTCATCCAGATGAACTGGAACGGCTCTCCGCGCTGCGCGCTCTGGGCAGCGACGTGCGCAACGTGATCCACCACGTAGCTAGACGAGACTCTGGGTCTGCTACTGTGTCCAGGTGGTCCTCGAAAAATCCAATCACACAAATCTTCTACCGCCGCAAAGGTCACCGAGGTTCTCCTTGGTTACGTAGGGCACAAGCGACTGGGCAGACGTTAGATCCAGTGATGACACGTCAACCTCCTCACTTGTGAACCTGGTATCTGAGGATGTGGATATTGAGCAAGAACTTGCAGAAGGAAACTGCATCAGGTTCGGGTATGTGTAGGGGCCCATGGTTGTCTTCTTGTACACAATTATTCCAAACTGACCAGAAGTCGGGCCTTCGACTGGACTTGATTCGGCACCAAGCATACCAGTGCGGTCTTTGCCGATGCGTCGACCAGGAACTGCTTCTTCAAGTCCTCGCCAGCATCGTGAAATACCGCTACCATGATCTTTTGTGTCGGAACGGACAGCGGGGAGAGCCTTGATCATTGGTGGTGTAGTCTCTTTGGTTGTAAAAAGAGACAACAGGCATCGCGTGATTCTCTCATGCGAGAGCGGTGAATGCATTCAATTCAGCAGGAGACGTGATCGGGACAGTAAGATCGGGGATCGTCGCAACAGCCGTCTCCTTTGCCTCGTCAATTGTGGTGAACTTTTGCGGGAGAACCTCAGCACGTTTCAGTCTATTCGCACTGGTAAGCTCCAATGGAAAAACGCGAACACCCAGATCCGCCATAACGCTCGCACAGTTCTACTTCCTTCCTCATTGCTGACTGCACCCGTCGCCACCACACCAGCTTTACGGTGCAATTGAGTCAAAGTCTTCTTCCGCTGCTTCTCGTCTAAGTCTTGCTGCTCCCCGCTGAGAGTCCATAAACTCCGATGATCCACACAACGTCCGAGTGCAGAACCAACTCATCAAACTCTGATCCAGAAAGAACCGGATAAACTTCGACTTTCCCTCGCTTGTCTTGGATCCCTTCGACGTGTTCCGCTTCGATCCCTTTGGCGTTGCAAAAGGCTCCACAAAGCTCTTGAGTGCACCGTACGTCTTCACCTTCTCTGCACTTGACACAACGTGGTCGTCATCGATTTCAGCACCACCAAAGCCGGTACTTCCCTCCACTTGCAACAGTTTCATCACCTCCCCTCTGCCCGCTTCCTCGTCTTTGCTCAAAAACACAAAAACTCAGACCTTGGTCACTCAACTCTGCAGCTACAGCTCGATACATGGGCGAAGCATGGCGCTGCTTCGAGATCAACAATACCACCGAAAATCTCGAGCCTCCTGCGCCTTTTCTTGCACGAACTGGGTCAGAGAAAGTCCACGTTGCGTCGTTCGCTTCAAGTTCGTACACAAATGGGTCGGAATGGCCGATTTGAGCATCTTTTATAGGCTTTTGAGGTTTTTTCAACAACGAGATGTCCGCCACGGCGTCGCAGCTCGATACAATTCACCAGTGTAAGGGTTCAGGCGTGGTACGTCTTGGTACCTGACTTAGTGCGGGCAGTTTCAGTAACTGCCATTGGTTCCCGACCGAGGTTTTATCATGGACCGCCATGTCCACCACACCAAAGGTGACAAGCCCTTCCAGCTCGGTTTCGATATCCGGCAGATCCGGATACGCCGTAAGGACCCGCTCTTCTGGACTCGGTCTCTCGTCGCCTTCACCTCCTGGTTTCGTCCTGATCACCAGCAGCGCGTGGACTGTAGCCAAGCGCTCAAGGCTCGAAGTCTCAGCTAATGCGATGGTCTCAAGGGCATTGCTGAGTTGTGGCCATGAGACAGGCGAGAGACAAGCGGCGCTGAGGAGCGGGCGGAGACGCGTAGGGATGCCGGTATTACACTAGTAGAGGCGGGAGGAGGGAGCGAGGGGGTGAGCGATCGGTTTCGGAGAGGGTTGAGGGATTTGTGGTCGGTGGGTGTCGATACGTATGGCACTTTCACGGGGAGACGTGAATGCTGTATGCTAGTTTTGATTAATGGTGTTTGAGAGGTTTCGAGTTTGGTGCCTCTTTTCGTGACATCGAGGTTGCGGCCTGATAGAGGCACGATAGCGCATATTTTATAGAGGAAGCTAATCGAAGGATGCCTAACGGCCGCAGGCGTGTCCACTGGGTACGCAATTAGAGTGTAGCCAGGATAGAGTTGCGGACATAGTTTCAGGAAGCATCGAATCACTGGACTTTATTTTGTAGGTGCTTCTGTGCCAATTTATGTTGAACACACGGCAGTTCTGACTTCCCATCGACAATGGAGTCGCTATCTATGCCGTCTCTACAATGCGCCAGTCCCTCTTTAACGCGCCATTGACGCGCTTTATCTTGGGGTCCGTCTTTGCCTGTCGTGTAAAGCCATGTAAAACCCAAGTCAAAACTCATCTTAGGCTTGGGATAGACAGTAACCCTCGACATTGCCACTCACCACGGAAGGTGAATCGGCCATAGACTTTGCCGTGCTTAAGGTCGAGCGATGGCCGAATTCGCACCCACCTCCCAGTACGAAGGCTCCTCGTAGTTGGACCAGATCCCGCGCATCACTCGCTTGCCCCCGCCGTACTCCCGCATGGGAGTCAGCACCTGGAAAGCGTTCTTAAAGCTCTTGGTTACCGCCGACATGGTGCTCTAGGTGTGAGTGAGTGGACGAACACGGTTTTTTATAAAGTCCTGGTGAACGAATAGAGATAGAATAAGTAGCAGGAATAGAAAGCACGGTATGACGGTTTTTAAATGCTTTATTATAGAAGACGTTTAACCAATTACTGTTTATTCAGAATGAGTACTGGATAGCCTTGGATAATTTGGGTTGGCCAGAATGTTCCCATTCTCGGCTGGCCCAGTTTTGTTACCTGTTTTGATAAGTTTTTAATTCGTAATTGACCAGCGTGGCAATAAGCTAAGCCTAGAAGTATCAGATCAGATCAGCCTTTCAGTGATTGCCTTTTCAGCATCACAGGGGTGAGTTGACTCCTGGTTGTTCATCAGTTTGACTCTGAGTTTAGAAGAGACAAACGCGGAGTCTAATCTATGTGTACACTCTGTTCGTCGGCTGTATTCGATACTGTACTAAGGTGACAATGGCATTGCACCAGCAAACAAAAAATGCCTCGGTAAGTCAGTGACACGGACGATTAATTACAGATACGGGAGCGAGATAGGGGTGTTTTCTGTCAACAAAACCCAGACATTGTTGCTCTAAACGGTGCGAGCTACGCACTTGTTTTAAATATGGGACAAAGAAAGGATCGCCTCCTGAGTATAATTGTACTATACTACACATTAACAAGACCGACGTCAGTGAGTGAAGCTGTCGCGGGTGCGTGTGTAGAGAGCGACGAGCTGAAGAAGCAAATCAGAGCGCTAAATCTAGACTTTGCTCCTGCTTCGGGACACGGTTATGCCTGAGCGTGTAGAACGCTCTTGCAGAAAGAATCTAGTCAACGTTGCATTCTTTCTTAAAAACTCGCTTTGAAAGGATCCGACGTATGTATAGGGTCGTGTATCAAAGCATTGCTGGAGACCGTTTCGATATGATCGATGCCGTATGCATGAGAACTAGGTACTCAATAAAGTTGGACTAACGTCCACTGTAGATGGACAAGTGGGGATCGAGAAGACGAACAGCTAGCTTACTTCCTTGTTCGTCGTAAATGTATTAGCTAGCAGTGTCACTGTGCGTTGTTTATGCAACATATGCGGCTCGATTGGCTTGAGAAAAATGAGAAACTTGAAAGAGCGATATGATGGCTATGTTGGAGTCGTACATGAATGCTGCTTGCAACAGTGGGTACAATAGCAGAGCCGATGCAAACTCAAAAGATGTTTGTCCAAAAATAGAATAGCTTGCCAGGTAACTTTACTGCCGCATACTTATTTTCCACACGATTGTACCAAGAGGTCGCCTCAATCAGATGGTAAAGACTGAGACTTGGACAACCACTGACAATTTGCTGTATGCCTTTCTATATGTTGTGCACCCTTTACACTAATGAGTAGTATTTGTACCATATCGTAGAAAATCCCGGATGACGATTTGCATGAGAGGCGGCAATTGCATGCACCATGATACGATGATCCTCACTTTGACCCGTGAAATTGCCACTTCCCTATACTTCATACTGAGAAAGCTCAGGCACGAACATGCCCGTCAATTGTCTGCATTAGTGCTTGCCAAGGATTTGGCAATCCTAGGTTTTCTACCGGACAAACAGGAAAATGCACTAGCGACACGAGCGTAACGACGGCGCTCAGTTACTGAATGAAACCCTTCGCGAGTGTCACAGCTTCGTCGACCTTTTCCACTGTCTTGGCCTGGCCAGTGGCGTTCAGCACATCTTTGCCGCCACCTTTTCCATTCATCACGACCATCGCGTGGTTCACCCACTTTCGCGCATCCAGCTGCTTCAAGTCAACATGTTGCTGACTTACACGAGTGAACGCCGCCGTCTTGTTGGTGTCCGAGTCCGTGCTGAAGATCATGAAACTGCCCGTCGGAATGATCCCGCTCATTGCGTCCAGCATTTCGCGGCCTAGCTTCGGGTCTGTACCGACGTCGAACTTTACCACAACTATCTCCTCACCAGCATCTCTGGCTTTCGTGGCCTCGACGGTAGCGTCATGCACACCGTTGGCGGCACGAGCAGCGGCAGCCTCCTTCTTTATGGTCTTGACCCGGCTCACAAGACCGTCAACCTGTTTCCGAAGTTTGTCCTTCAGCGGCAGCGAGATCATCGCCTGGTCTAGCACGGGCTTAAAAGACGACACGCGCTCTACAAACTCGATACCGCTTAGCTTGTCAATAGCATCCAGCTCAGCCTGAAGCTTTTTGCCACGCTCCTCAGCCTCAATGGCGAGGTCCCACGTGTACGCAGACACACGCCGTATGCCCTTGGCAATCGCACACTCTTCAAACAGAACAAACCTCTTGGCCTCTCTAGTGTTCTTCAGGTGAGTGCCACCGCAGAACTCGACCGAAAAGTTTCTCCATAACTGATTCTCCGGATCCTCGAGCATCGGAGCAACAGGTTGGCCAATCGAAACAACGCGGACAAAGTCTGGGTACGTCTCACCGAACACGGCGCGCAGACCCTCAATACGCGTGGCCTCAGCCTGTGCAGAGTTCTGCGTAAATACTTCCAGCTGCTGTTTAATCACGTCGTCGCAAATAGCCTCTACTTCCGCCAGTTGATTAGGCTTCAGCGCGTTGTTGTTTGTAAAATCGAAGCGTAGACGCAAGTCATCCACGAGCGATCCACGCTGATCCACAGACTCACCCAACACCTTACGCAGCGCAAAGTTAAGCACGTGCGTCATGGTGTGATTCGGAGCCACTTTAGCACGACGAACGTAATCCACCTCACACTCCACAGCGTCACCAACTCGTATGGACCCGAACGCAATAGGGCCCATGTGCATCACATAGCCAGCGTACGACTCCACTGAGTCTACGTCCAGCTTGAAATTGCCACTGCTCAGCACACCCGTGTCATAAATCTGACCACCAGCCTGCGCGTAGAATGAGGTCTTGTCCAGAATGACACCAACGCGTTCAAAGTCGCCAGCATTTACCTCCTCCACAAAGTCGGAGCTAGACTCCGTTGTCGTAAAGAGAGCTACCACCTTTGCTGGTGTCTTGACGTGCCAGTCATACTTGGCCGTGTCATCCGTGACGTCAACGTGTTTGTCAGCAAGCGCGCTCGTCTCGCGAGCTTCTAACACAAGCGGGCGCGCACCATTGCTGCCACCCTTCTTGCGGTCCATCTTGGAACGCTCACTTTGCAGACGCATGCACGCCTCGTAGCCCTTCTTGTCCACCGTCATGCCTTCCTCCTCGGCCATGATCTCCGTCAGATCGAAGGGGAAACCCATGGAATCGTAAAGAAAGAACGCATCTTCACCAGGTACAACAAGAGGCTTGTTTGACCGTGCGCTAGCCTCACGAATACTCTGTGCAATCTTCTTAAAGCGCTCGATGCCTTTGTTCAATGTGCGACCAAACGACTTCTCCTCGTCCAAAATGACATCCTCCACCTTCTTCTGCTTATCAACCAGCTCGGGATAAGCCTCACCCAGCATCTCCACCACACATGGCACCAGTTGCGTGAGAAAGCCACTCGGCGCATTCAAAAATTGCTGCCCGTAACGCACAGCACGCCGCAGAATTCGACGCAGCACGTATCCACGGCCGTCGTTGCTAGGCACTGCGCCATCCGTGATGGCGAACGTTAGTGTGCGCACGTGGTCGGCCACAACACGGTACGCCATATCCTTCTTGTCCGGATCTTCTTCACCCAGCTTTCCAGTGTACGGAGCCGCTTTGGTCAAATATTGAATCACGGCAAAGAGCGGCGTGAACACATCGGTATCGTAGTTTGAGTCTTTTCCTTGCAAAATTGACGCCAGACGCTCAAACCCCATCCCAGTGTCGACGTGCTTGTGCGGGAGCGGCACGAGTTTCCCATCCTGTTCCCGATTGAACTGGATGAACACATTGTTCCAGATCTCAATCACATCGGGCACATCAGCATTCACGAGCTGTGAAGCATCGCGATTCCCGATCCGGTCATAGTGAATCTCCGTACAAGGGCCACATGGTCCAACGTCTCCCATCTCCCAGAAATTGTCCTTGCAGCCAAACGACAGCACGCGCTCCGAAGGTAAATACTGGAGCCAAATGAGCCGTGTCTCTTCATCTGGCTCAAGGCCGAGCTGCTTGTCACCGCCAAAGTACGTGGCGTAGAGCCGCTCCTTGTCAACGTGGAACACCTCGGTCAAGAGCGTCATGCTCAAGTGCACAGCCTCCTGCTTAAAGTAGTTGCCAAAGCTCCAATTGCCCAGCATCTCAAAGAACGTGTGATGATACACGTCCTTCCCCACGTCGTCCAGGTCATTGTGCTTCCCGCCTGCTCTGATGCACTTCTGCGAGTTGCACGCGCGCGTGAGCTTGGCCATGGGCTGGAGCGGGTCCACTTGGCCTAGAAAAATGGGTTTAAATTGGTTCATACCCGCGTTAATAAACAGCAGTGTGGGGTCGTCCAGTGGCACGACGGGACATGACTTGAAAAATGTATGGGGCAGCTGCTCGTGCGACTCGAAAAAGTCGATGAACGTCTTGCGGATGCGCGCGGCGGGCCACGTTTCGGCCGGGGAGAGAGAGGAGGATGCGCTGGTGATCTGGGTTCCTAGTGACTCGACGCGCACGTCCAGGGCTTCGATGGCTTGCTCGAGGGACGTCACGCGGCTCGACGCTTGGCTCATGCTGGACCGCTTGCTGGATTGTTCGTGGTGGGCGTGCGAGCGGTTTAGAAATGGAGAGGGATGGCAGGTGATTGGTTGAAAGGGAGGGTACGACGGTGCGGATTGGATGAAAGGGTCTAAGCGACGGAGGAGAGGATACCAGTATGCGGAGACGATGGATGTATGTGGTGCACATGGATGAGACGGTCGCGTTAGCTGGGAGGATATCGCAGGGTGAAAGTGGTTACGGCTGTGGGGTACGATGCGATTCAGTGTATGTCGCCTTGATTGCGGTATCTAGCACGACACAAAAATAGGGTTCTGCGATGTCTTGTGGGCCACGACCGGTGCGAATTAAAGCAAAATCATGGAAACCGACGTTGCAAACATACACAGTATATTAGAGCATTCGCGATTACATATGGACGGCTTCATCGAAGTCACAGAGACGAGAGCTACTGACTTATTCTTGTGTCGATATCCCTACAACCGAGTTGGTTATAACCAACTACCCCTACGACGGAGCCTCTCATGTGTACCTCACAAAGGTCGAGATGGCTCCTAGCTTGCACGCCCCATCTTCCTGCGCGTCGACCGAACATGTGAGCAAAAGCGAACGCGTGATGATCACGCTTAATCCTTTTGGATTGATACAGCTACTGCCGAGCTTGCAGCACTTGTGGCGGCTGAACCTGTAAATAGTCGTTTCAGGATCTGCTCGATCTCGTCCGGTGTTTTGCCACACTTTGCAAGCTCCAGCACCAAGTTCACGCGGTCCTTATTATATAGAGAATAACTTGGATTCAACTCTTGCTGCATCTGGGAGGTGGTAGCCGTGCTGCGAGGCTCTAAGATACCCCACGCTTCCCAGCTCTCACGATGCTTATTTGCACATTGAACAATACCGGGATCGGCACATTGGAGGACGTTTCCTGTGTGGCATGACACAAAGAAAAGGGAACACTTCCAGTTCGTCTCCATGGTGAAAAGTTCCCATTCACCAGGTTCCGTAGGATCGAACACGCATCCACCCGACGTTCGCACTTGCAAGAAGCGGCCATTGCGTCGAGACTGAATAGCGACCTTGTCGTCACGAACATGGTGCAGAATGACGTGCTCGTATATGTCACGATTGTCCGTCTGGCAACGAGCTTTCTTGGACCCGGGAGGATTCTGCAGATTTTTTTTCGTTCGTATCATTTGGATGATTACTGGCACATTGAACGGAATGTCGGACAGGTCCATGGCGCAAAATCGATAGTGTTTGGCAAAGGCTGAGGAAGTTAAAGAGTCTTGACTTCAGACATCACTTATCAGGATCGTTACATGAATTTTCTGGAGCAACAGAGGATCGATCAGTCGCACACCAGATGATGCCGTTATATGTTGAGCGACGAATTTGATACAACGTCTGCGCTCGTACAAATGTTTTGTTTCTCGTAAATTTATTGTTCTTGCGGTTAGCTCCAACGGTCACACCTTTGTAGTAAAAGAAGAAGCCCTCATTATAACAATCTTGGCATCAGAGACGCATGGGCTCGTAAAAGTATTATCCTGGAAAGGCGGCTGCTAAAACAATGACGCAGGTCGCCCATCAGATTCTAATGCAGTCAATAATGAAGTTGACCGAGTGTTGACATACATGTTATTTGTCCGCGCAGTACACTGCTCGCAATCCGGCACTCGCAGATACAGCGAAAACAATTGGAGCGAGAGCAGTCCATCATGAATCACTATTCAGACCGTTTATCATGCGAGGACCGATCAACAAAATCTGCTCGTGTCCCTGCTGATAGAAAGCACGAACGTGGAACACGGGAGTTGGAAACTATATGCAGCAATCAAGACTAGCCAACCCCCCCCCTATTCAATCAAAGACAGATTGCTACGTAGTAGACTGCAAAGTCAATTGATTTATTTTTGCGTCAGTGTCTTCTCGGCGACAACTCACGACAATTATCTTTCGTAGGCAAACTCTCATGTGTAAACCCGTCACGCGCATCAGTCATTATGATGCCTGACCCTTCCTTCTTCATGTCAACCGAAAATGCGAGCACAAGTAAACGCGAATATATCATGTCGACTGCTTTGTAACTGAAACAGCGACTGCCGAGCCCGAAGTTGTTGTGGCGGCTAGATTGTCAAACAATCTTGTCAAGATCTCCTCGATCTCTCCCACTGTTTTACCACACTTTGCAAGCTCCAGCACCAAGTTCACGCGGTCCTTATTAGCCAGAGCATAGCGTGAATTCAGCTCTTGCTGCATCTGGGAGGTGGTAGCCGTGCTGCGGGGCTCAACGATCCTCCACGCTTTCCAACTCTTACGATTCTGATCTGCACACTGGACGACACCGGGATCGACACATTGGAGGACGTTTCCTGTGTGGCATGACACAAAGAAAAGGGAACACTCCAGGTCTGTCTCCATGGTGAAAAGTTCCCATTCACCAGGTTCCGTAGGATCGAACACGCATTCCCCCGACGTTCGCACTTGCAAGAAGCGGCCGTTGCGTCGAGACTCGATAGCGACCTTGTCGTCACGAACATGGTGCAGAATGACGTGCTCGTATATGTCGCGATTGTCCGTCTGGCAACGAGCACTCTTGGACCCGATAGGATTTTGCAGATTTTTTTCGGTGCACATCGATTGGAGTATTACCGGCACATTGAACGGGACCTCCTTCAGGTCCATGGTGAAAACTCGAAAGTGTATGGTGAGAGGCTGGGGGAGTGATCTGATTTCTGATTTAGATATCACTTGTGGTTTGTCTGGATCGTACCAAAGATAAATCAGCACCGTATCCAAATTCCGTGCTCACTGATACAAGAGAACACGAATGAGAGAGAGAGTGTAATGGGGTTGCGCGAAATTATGGTACTTTGTACCAGAGGTGTTACACACCTGAGGTTACTCCTTTGTGAAGGTGATATAGAATATCTTATTGGTTTGTAGGGGCTGACGAGTGTCAGCCATTAGGTAAGAAAGATCTTTGAGTAGAATTAAGATATTCTGTAAGCGTTAACAAAAATAAAATCGGCTCCCATTTTGATCTAAAAGACACGTGGCTTGCGAGCCGTCTTGATCGTTGATCACTGATCACTAAGAGTTAGCAACACCTCCTTGAGGTAGCTACTCTTTAGCACTGAGTGCTGTCGATTCACTGAACCGTTAGGTCCCCTGGAACAGGGATCTGAAGCTGTCAAGCTTGTTGACTCGTAAAGTCGTTAGTTCTTTGGTGTAACGGGGCACCCGGAAGCTCGTACTGGTGACAGTACAAGCTACTTATTCTGATGACAGAAAAAGGCGATGCCTCGGAACTTCACGTACACTCGTACGTGCAGAGGAAGACGGAAGGAAGAAGCGAGTACTTGGTTTATGTAACGGGGCACCCTGAAGCTGGTACTGGTGACAGTACAAGCTACTTATTCTGATAACAGAATAAGGCGGTGCCTCGTAACTTCACGTACACTCGTACGTGCAGGGAAGACGGTAAGAAGAAGCGAGTACTTGGTTAAAGTAAAAAGTAGAACTGTTTTTAGTATAGTTAATGTCTGCAATAAATCACTATTTATCTTCATCTAACTATGTCTAAATACAAATGTGTAAATCAACTATCTGCTCACCACTCATTGCGTGCGTCTGTCGTGGCGCGTCTTCGTTGGTTGATATAATGGCCTATATCAACCAATTAGGAACTACTTGTAAGTGCAACAGAATATTTGTCCTTATGACAATATTCTGAGAATACAACTCTTATAGTTATTCTATTAACAATTTCATATAAATGGTCACGTAACGATTCACCCCGTTACATCACCCCCCTTACCCATCAGTCACTTTAGTGACTGATTGACTAAACGGATACTCGTCCCAAATCATTTGGGACAGGGTTTGCACTTGTTGGTCCGCGTCCACTTTCCAACATTTCATCGCATGGTAAACAAGCCCATGCGATGCGCGAGCAAGGCCGCCGAGAGCGCGTCCGCACGTCTCTGTGCGGACGCCGAAGCAGAAAACTACAGCAACTGATATCTCATCGGTTGCTGAAGCGACCCAGCCTGTGTCACCTGGTGATGCAGGCGCTGGTCATGAAGACACTCATGTCTTCACAGAGTATGAGCTCGAAGTCTCATACTCTCCTGATACGGAAGACGGATCCGTATCGACGGCGATCGAATCCAAGCCGCCTGCCAAGCGTGGCATGGATGATGCTATGCGTCGTAGCATCTTTGGTTCATCTGATTCATCAGATGAACCATCGCCGAAGCGAAGGCGGTCGAGGTCGCGAGACTCGGGCGCTAACAGTGGTGTCGGTTCTCCTATGGACACCACCTCGCAGCGAGGTGCCAGTCCTTCTGTCGGCACGTCGCAGGAAGAGCGGGACCGCAATGTCTTGCGTCTCGCTCCCGAGAAGAAGGCATGGATGCCTCCCAAATCTGTCATGGATCACTTGTCGGCGACGACGGGTGATCGTTATCGAACACGGTTGTTCGATTCGTCAAGGATCCATCACCTTGACCCCAGCGCGAAAAACTATCGCGCTGATAATGAATTCTTCATCGATTCTTTCTTCAGACATCGATGGTACAGTGGGAACCACAAGCGTGATGGTCCCTCACTACTTCAAGCGTGGAACGCTTACATCCATAACCTTGAAGATGTAGGGCGTGACGTTTGGAACGACAAACTTATCAAAGCTCGTGATAAGTTTAAAAAGCGAACCCCGACAGGTGCACGCTACAAGCTGCATCGTCTGTCAAGGAAGAAAGGATTACCCTGCCTCTCTTGGGGAGACTGGTGCCCGTGTTGTGTGAACAACTCTGCACGAGCACCTAAGGAGGCTTACCTCCTTACCAGCCTGTGGTGGCGCGTACGTATCTCTACTGAGATGTACGAAGTAATTGACAACCTGAAATCCGTTTACGACCGTGCCGGAAAGACTTTCTCCGTCGGTCCTTCTGCGGCACAGGATGTGCCGCGTCGTACTGCTCAACCAGACCCAGTACGTCAACCATCAGTTGGGAGCGGGGCTCCCAAGTATCCCAGGACGGGGGATAGCCGCGCCACCGGACGAGATAACTCGTCCGACGTCCGTTCACGTCGCGGTGGTTCAACAGCTGCTCAACTAGATAGCGCTGGCCACCGCGAGAGTCCTCTAATGGAGGTGGAGGAGGAGGAAAGACGCTCTCCACACGATCATGGGGATCCGTGTGTTCCCGAGAGCTTCTTTGATCGCGTAACGCAAGGGTTACGCAACGATCTCGAACATGAGCCGGACAGGCGTCTGCAAATGGCGGACACTGTCTCGAAGCATCGAGCTGAGTTTGCCTTTGCTCAGCTTGAGAACGAGAGAGCTCTGACATCTCTTCGTGACGAGCTAAGGGTAGCTCGTGGGATTGTTGATCGGTCTCGGGATGAGATAACTGCTCTTCAGACCCTTGTCTATGCCCACCATCGGGAGCACAAGGCTCTCTGCGAGATGCTTGAGCGCAAGGGCGTTCTTCATCGGAAGAAGCAGCGTACTGATGGTACGGCTTAAGCTGACCAATGTAAAACGTTGGATGCGTTCGCATCTTACGTGGCAACTCGATCGTGTATGCATTGCCTAGGCGGTGCAATACACGAAATGGGCCGATGTACTTGGGTAGTAGTTTACTGCTACCCAAGTTAGTCACTACATGCTTTGGTAGATTAACCGTAGACAGTAGGACTAAGTCACCTTTATTAAATAAAAGAGTGTTTGCCCTTCCATTCTTGTCAGCGTTTTGCTTTTGCTTTTCCACCGCTTCGGCGATGGAGTCTTGCACAAAACGGACTACCGTTTCACGAGCCAGTATGAACTCATCTGATGACTCGTTAGCTTCATTGCGCTGTGAGCGCACTGCAGCAACATCAACCTTTTCTTCAGTGAGGGCTTCCGCACTCTCACTGGCATCATCTTCTTCGATATCGATGTTATCGATATCAGCATCAAACGCAATGATTTCTTCGTCAGAGCGTGATGAGCGTGAACCAAATCGTCTTTTGCTCGCGCGAGTCTCCCCCCCCCCTTAAACCAGAGTTACACTCTAGTAAGGTGGGTACACGCGGATGGCGCAAGCCATTCACGTAAAACGGTGTATGTGTCGTGGACGCATGCACCGTTGGCAAAAACTCACTCCAACTCTTAAAGGAGTGTACGTATCCTCGAAGTATCTCTTCGAGGACACGATTGGCACGTTCCGTCTGACCATCTGACTCTGGATGATCAGATGTTGACATCTACAAGCGCTTTCCGAGTGATTTGAACACGGAACGCCAGAAATCAGCAGTGAATCGTGGATCTCTGTCTGATACGAGTTCACGGGGCAACCCATGAAGTCGGAAGATGGTGTCAATAAAGACACAAGCACAGCCACTTGCCGTGATTGTCTATGGTACAGCCACAAGGTGTACCATTTTGCTGAATCTGTCAACAAATACGAGAATACCCGTATTCCCGCGTGCGTCTTTGGGTAACCCGAAGACGAAATCCATTGAGATGGATTCCCAGCACTCAGCCGGAACCGGTAGAGGCTGTAAAGGTGCACGCAGTGAAGGACTTGACTTCACTCGTTGGCTTCGCATGCGCGAACATACTTTCGCACAAACTGATACTGGTGGGGCCAGTAAAAGTCTCGACTCACCGTGAGATATATTTTCTCCCGGACACGATGCCTCCTATAGGAGCATCATGATACTCGAACATGATCCGCCAACGCAGATCAGTATCATCTGGAATGACAACATGTGGTGTGTCACCAGAAGCGGCTGTATAATACAGTAGCCCGTTGCGAGTAGTGTATCGATCTGATGCAGACTGATACGCAGACGACAATCGTTTCAACGATTCTCGAGATGGTTGGGAGAGATGTGTCAACAACTTCACAATCTCACCATCTTGGGCGTATGCCCGCCTCACATCATCATACAACGTTGTAGATGGGACTGAGGACGTCATAACCGCAACAGTGACTGTCTCACTGTTGGGTTTCGCGACTGTTTCAAAGTCGGGACGACGTGAGAGTGCATCAGCGACGACATTAAGTCGTCCTGGTTTGTACTCGACCGTAAAGTTGTATTCTGCAAAGAATGACAACCACCGTGCCATTCGTTGTGAAAGGTGCGGGCTGTTCACTGCCGTGCGTAATGACGCATGGTCAGTGTAAACAACGAAGGGTCTATCTCCTAATAGATAGACTCTGAACTTCGCGAGTGCATACTTCATTGCAAGGAGTTCCTTGTCATGCACTGGATAGTTCCGCTCAGCTGGTTGCAGCTGACGCGACTGATAGCAGACGACGCGTTCAACGCCTTCAAGATCGTACTGCATTAATTCACAGCCGATTGCGAAATCGCTGGCATCACAGACCCCATGAAATGGCCTGTCCTGATCGGCTATTGCTAGGACTGGGTATTGTACCAAGCTCTGCTTGATACCATCAAAGGAGCGATGACATTCAGCGTTCCATAACCACCTCTCGTTCTTTTTCAACAAACGAGAGAGGTGTACAGTCATCTCGGCGTAATTGCGTGAATACTTATGCAAATACGCCGCTAGCCCTAGGAATTTTCAAAGACCTTTGACGTCGACTGGCACAGGCCACTCGGTGATCGCCTTGATCTTTTCGGGATCAGGACGTACACCATTCTTACCAACGATGCACCCAAGA